AGGAGGAGAAGTCTCAAGGGTGCTAAGTCACATGGGTGCTGGGGGCTGGGCCTCAGTTGAGGGTCCTAGGAGGCCCTGCGGGCAGGCAGGGCTCCAGAGGAGATTCTGGCAAACTCAGGCGGTGGGTGGCACTGGGAGCTGGTGGGGACACTTTCAGGGCAGAGGACCTCAGAGGTGACTGGGTTCCATGGCTGAGCACACTGCATAGACAGTGGACAGAGCCTGGGTTGTGGGTGACGGTGTCGTGGGCAGAGTAACTGCTCCTTCAGAGGGAGGCTTGAGTGTTATTTCCAATGAGTGCCATCAAGCTGACCCTGACTTATGGTGACCCCATCTGTGTCAGAGTAGAACTGTGTTCCATACGGTTTTCAATGGCTGAGTTTTTGGAATTAGATTGCCAGGCCTTTCCTCCGAGGCACCTCTGGGTGGACTCAAACTTCCAACCTTTCGGTTAGCAGCCAAGCACGTTCACCATTTGCACCACCCAGGGACTTTGATGTCAGATGCCTTGACGCCTAACCTCACCTCTTAAATGTATCCTTGGGCAAGGAACTCCGTCTCCCCCAGCCTCGCTTTCCTCATCTGTGAAAAGGAATAAATTGCATGCATCTCACTGAGGGTGAGGAGAATTCCCGCCCCCCGAACGCCTGACAGGTATCCGACAGGTGTAAATTCCCTCCCCCTGCTCACGAGGCTGGCCCAGGGGGAGGGGCAGGCCTCAGGTTCACCAGCATCCTCATGAATAACAAACACCAGGCACTTTTAATAATAAGGCCCCAGTGCTGCGCTAAGTAGAAGCCCTGGTGGGTGAAGTGCTCAGCTGCTAACCAAAAGGTTGGTGGTTTGAATCCACCCAGCGGCTCTGCAGGAGAAAGACCTGGCAATCTGCTCCCGTAAAGAAGACAGCCTAGAAAACCCTACGGGGCAGTTTACTCTGTCACAGGGGGTCTCTAGGAGTCGGAATCGACTCGATAGCACCCAGCAACACCAACAGCTGTGCTAAGCGCACAGATGAGGAAGCTGAGGCTCAGAGGAGGTGTGTTACCCGACCGAGGACGCCTTGCTAGGAGGTGGCCGGGTCGGGGTTTGGTGGAGGCAGCAGATTCCGGACCCCCTACTCGTGTGCCGACATAGGAGATTTCGGTGTTTCGTGTCCCTGGGTCTGGGGAGACCGTTTGGCATCAACTCAGGGGCACACCTGGGGGTTCTTATCAGAAACGGAAGGGGGCACCTCTGGCTTGTCTTTGGGGAAACTTAAATCATAGCTTGTGTCTGAGGAGGGTGGGAGCTGGGACAGAGGCATCCGTGTCTTCCCTGTACCCAGAGCAACTCAGCCGCAGGGCAGCTTTGGGGTGGGGCTCTCCGGATGCCCTCGGGGAGGAGGATTGTTCTGGAAGGCGTAAGAGGGATCCCTCCCATATGTTGGTGGGAAAAAGGCCGGCCAGTTGGGCAGGTCCATTTCCCTCTCTGAGCCCTAGAGACAAGGGAAATTAAATAGAATCTGGTCTCTCAAGGTGGCTGATCCCTATTTGGGTGACCAACTCTCCCCGTTTGCCCAGGATGGAGGGGTTTACTGGACTTGCGACCTTCAATGCTAAAACTGGGAAAATGTCAGGCAAACCAGGACACGCTGCTCACTTTATGGCCCTTTCACCGTCATTTTTAACACCAATGACCAGGAGCCCAAGTGGGCAGGCAGGGTGCTGGGTGCCCCGGAATCACGTCTCCCACCTCCCTGCCCTGTCCTGGGCTATTTTGGACCCAGTGATGGCAGGTCAACCTGGCCATACTCCGTGCCTGTGGCAAAGGGCATGCTCTGGCGGGTCCCCAGGCTCCTTCCTCCTCCTTCTCCCTCCAGGGTGCATCGACCTTGACCGCTGCTGGCCCCTCTCCCCACGGCCCCCCACTCTAGACCTGGAATGCACCACACAAATATTTTCTGCAAAGGGACACAGAGCAAACATTTTCAGCTTTACAGAACAGTCTCTGTCACAACTAAACCGTGCCCTTGTAGCCAGAAAGCAGACAAAAGCTATGTGTACATGAATGGGCGTGGCCCTGTGCCAATAAAACTTTATTTATAGACATTGAGATTTGAATTCCATATACTTTTCGTGCGTCATAAAATTTAACTCTTCTTCTTTTTTTTTTTCCCCCAACCATTTAAAACCATGAAGAACATTCTTTGCCCTCGGGCTGTAGTTTGATGACCTCTGATGTTGACATCCAAAACACATTTGTTGAAAGAACTACCATTTGGTCTCCATGAAAACATGTGCCTGTATCAGTGTGACAGTCATTACTGTTAGTTAGATTTTAATGAGATGGGCATGCATGCCTTTAAAAAATTTTATAAAAATAATATATTTTATTGTGTTTTCGGTGAAATTTTGCACAGCAAATTAGGTTCCCACTTGACAATTTCTAAATAAATTGTTAAGTGATATTAGTTGCATTTTTCACAACACATCAGCATTCTCTTTAATTGCATTCTGGTTGTTCCTCTTCCATTAATCTAGTTTCCCTGCCTGCTTATCTTCTCATCTTTGCTTTAGAGTAATTGTTGATCTTTTGGTCTCATATAGATGGTTTTTTTAATGGAACACCGTACTCATGAGTAATATCCTTTATTCTGTGTGCCAATCTGTTACTTTACTAAAAGGTGACCTCAGGGGAATAGTTTTGGTTCAAGGTGTAAAGAGTCCTCTAGTCTCAACTGGTCCAGTAAGTCTGGACTTTTTAAGAATTTGAGTTCTGTTGTGTGTTTTTCTCCCGTTCTATCAGGATAAAAGCATTTTTAGCAAATGCATAAATGTTAAAATACTACCGAATAAAATAAAATTCACAACTGTGTTTTTTTTTAATCAAGTGCTGAAGGATTTTTTTTAACAGCTTTGAGACATAATTCACATACCACACAATTCACCCCATGTTTTATAGAATATTCAGAGTTGTACGATCACCACCACAATCTAATTTTAGAATACACTTTCATCCCCATAAAGAAGCCCTGAACCTATTCGCGGTCACTCCCCATTCTCCTTCCCCCAAACCCTAGGCAACCACTAATCCACTTTCTGTCTCTACAGATTTGCCTATTCTGGACATTTCTTATAAATGGACTCATACAACATGTGACCTTTTGAGTCTGGTTTCTCTCTCTAAGCATGGTTTCAAGGTTGATCCATGTCGTTGCACGTATCAGAACTTCATTGCTCTTTATAATAGAGGAATAGTCCATTGAAGGAGCCCTGTTGGCGCAGTGGTTAAAATGCTTGGCGACTAACTGAAAGGTCAGCAGTTCAAAGCCACCAGCTGCTCCATGGGAGAAAAATGTGCCAGTCTGCTTCCATAAAAATTACTGCTTTGGAAAGCCTATGGGGCAGTCTACTCTTTCCTATAGAGTTGCTATGAGTTGGAATCGACTCGACAGCAGTTTTTTTAAATTTTATTTAGTAGTCCATTGTGTGGATGGACCACATTTTGTCTATCCATTCATCTGTTGATGGACACTTGGGTTGTTCCCACTTTTGAGGTATTAGGAAGAATGCTTCTAGGGACATTTGTGTGTAAATATTTGTTTGACTCCCTGTTTTCATATGTCTTGGGTGTATACCCAGGGGAGTTCTTGGGTGGTGCAAATGATTAAGTGCTTGGCTGCTAACCGAAAGGCTGATGGTTCAAACCCACCAAAAGGTGCCTCGAAAGAAAGGCCTGGCGATCTACTTCTGAGAAATCAGCCAAGAAAACCCAGTGGAGCACAGCTCTACTCTGACACACATGGGGTTGCCATGAGTTGGAATTGACTCAGTGGCAAGTTTTTAAAAAATTTTATAAATATGCCTAGGGGTAGAATTGCTGGGTCGTATGATAATTGCTTCTTTCTTTTTATTTATTTTTTCATAATTTCCAAATGTTCTTTGACTTTGTCCAAACTTGTCTGGATTGGGGGGCTTTTCTGCCCCTTTGGACTGAGCAAGCTGGCAACTGCAGTTCCGCGTCCAGCCGCGGGGTGCCGCCCTCAGGCCTAGAGGTGCCCCCACTCCTGTCACACCGGGCTCAGTTCTTCACCCGACTTTCCAGCCTCCTTTGGGCAGGTAGAACAGAGTCTGGGGAGACCCGAGTTCCAGTCCCAGCTCTGCCAAGCCACTGACCCTTTCTGGACCTCACTTTCCCCCTCTGTGAAATGGATGTACATAATAAAATGTCTTACTGAGGCTGCTAGGAGGGCCTGGGGAGACATGAGTTTTGCGGACAAGGGGGAGGGCTTGGTTCCTGGGATAGAATTATGTGCTTTATAGGGATTTGGGTTCACGAGAGCTTCCCCATAACCCTGTGAAGTGAGTATCAGCCCAATTTACAGAAGGGAAGACAGAGGCTTGGAGATGGTGAGGCTCAGCGCGAAACCAGAGGCAGAAAATCCAGTGCAGCCCCAGGCCTGGGTCTGGCTGCCCAGCTGCACTGTCTTGTCTGCTGAAAGCTCGCAGGAGAGTTCCCATCTGGGGAAACTGAGGCCTCAAGGACCCCTGATCAGCCCACTGGGTCACATCGGCAGGCCCACCAGGTAGACGGTAACTGCCTGGAGCTCTACCAAGAGTGCTGGAGGTGCAACTGTTAAGCGCTCAGCTGCTAACCAAAGGTTGGAGGTTTGAACCACCCAGAGGCTCCATGGAAGAAAGGCCTGGCGATCTGCCCCCGTAAAGATCACAGCCTACAATACCCAATGCGGCAGTTCTACTCTGTCATACAGGGTCACCATGAATCGACTCCAAAACACCCAACAACAACAGCAGGGGACATAAGAGTCCCCCTTAGCATCTCAAAGAGAACACACTGGACACCAACGTTTATAAGAACAAGACTAGGTTTAATACATAAGCCACGGTGAGTGGGGCCTCCACGCCCTCATGTACAAACTTCCCCGGAGGGAAATGGCCACACAGAATCAGCAGATGCTGCAGGCCTGGGTCCCAGGGGAGGGCTGGCCCCTCCTCTCCCAGCTAGGAGTGGTTCAAGAGTAAATTCTGAATGTCTTCCAGGACTTGGTGGAACAGCTCCTCGCGGGACTTCATGCCATCCAGGTACACTGAAATCAGAGGGGCTACGCTCAAGGAAGTGCTGAGGTTTGGGCTACCGAATGGACCTCCGCCAGCGGGCAGGTGGCCAGCTCAGAAGGGGGACAGGCAGACTGCTGGGTCAGGAGAAAGGCTGCCTGCCTGCCGAGTCAGGCTGCTGGAATCAAACAGCCACTGGACCAAAAGCAAGAGGGCCTGTGAGTGAGACTTGAAGAGGGACTTCCAGGTTTTCCAAATGGTCCCAAGTGGGGAGGGGCTGATGTATGGATGTTTACTCATTTGTCTGCTGATGGACACTTGGGTGGTTTCCACTTTGGGGGTATTATGGAGAAAGCTGCTGTGAACGTTTGCGCCCTGGGCCTCCTCTTGCTTGGGGCTTACCCACTTCCACGCCATCGGCTTCCATCTCCCGCCTGTACTTCTGGTACATGGGCCACACGTGGCCGTCGAAGAGGCCCGGGGGGTCGGGGACCATGTAGCTGCGGGTGCTGCAGAGAGAGTTGGGTGACCGTGAGCAGTGGCCACACTGGCCGAAGAAGAGCCCACGAGTGGACCGTGGCCCTCTTATCTGCCCTGGGAGACCCGAGTTAGGTCGGCGTCAGGGATGTCCAGTGAGGAAGGGCCCTTCAGTCAGAGGCCCCGGGCCGGGGTCTGGGTGTCCCTGTGGTGTCCTTACCCCATGGGTGTGGGAGACACAGGGCGGGGGGAGCATGGACCTCGCTGTCCACGCCGTGGGCTTCCCCAGCTATGTGCCCGCCCCTCGCTGGCCTACTGCTGGTGGTCCTGTGTCCACCTGGGCATTCCCGGGTTCCCTGGTCCCCCCTGGGCTGTGCCCGGCCCCGCCTGTCCCCCAGGCTCACCTCCGCCTCTGTTTGCACTCCTCATAGGGGACGGTCAGGAAGTACCTTAGGGTGTACAAGTCCACCAGGGGCCTGGGGGTGGGGGACACGGTCAGTGGTCTAGCCTTCCTTCCCCTGGGGCAAAATACCCTGTCCTCTTGGCCTTGGCCCCCACGGACCCTCCAGGTGGGATGAATTTCATGGACGCCCGTTGGATAGAGACAGGAGGGTGGGGGGTGTCTGGGTCATTAAGTTAGAGGCCAGGAAGGGGACCAGCATTGGCCAATCTCCCACTGTGCACCGGGAACACCCCTAATGGATCCCCAAGGACCCCCCATCAGCCCCTTGGACCACATTGGCAGGGGTCCCCCTGAGGATGGGATCCAAGAAAACCAAACCCATTGCCGTCAAGTCCATTCCGACTTCTGGAGACCCCACGTGCCTCAGAGTAGAACTGTGCTCTATAGGGTTTTCTTGGCTGTGATCTTTATGGAAGCTGATTGCCAGGCCTTTCTTCTGCACCACAGCTGCGTGGGTTCAAACTGCCAAACTGTTAGTTATTAGTTGAGCACAAACATCCCAGGGACCTTGGGATGGGATCCTCCCACCCAATTCGATGGGCACAGAGAGGTGCAATGCCTTGCCCAGCGTCATACAGTGGGGCAGGCGTCCAGCCCAGCCCACTGCTCTGCCTGAGAATGCCCAGGTTCAGCAGGGAGGACTCAGTTTCTCCAAGACATGTGGGGTGTTCCCCCTGTCCCTTGAGCTGACCCCAGCTCTGCCCCTCCTGCTGCCCCTGGACTGGATCTCCTTCACGGACGCCTGGAAGGGTCTGGAGTCTCCAACCTGGCCCACAGCCACTCACTTGTAGCTGTAGAGCAGGAAGCCTTCCAGGATGAGGATGTGGGTGTCCGAGGCGTCAGGGTGGACACTGACCCCGTGGGCGCGGGCGAACTTGCGGGGGCTCCTGGCCCAGGCCTGCACCGTGCTCAGCATGGCCTCCATATCCAGGGCCTCCAGCGCTGGGGGTGGGAGAGGGGGTGTCAGAGGGAGGCTGCGGGATGAGGAGGCCTGCAGGGGGTGCAGGGGGTGCACCAGGCGTCCTTACCATCCCACTGTTTGAAGCCGTCCTCACCAACTGCTATTTGGTCTTGGGGCTGAAACAGAGCACCCCAAGCCGGGCTCATTACCCGCGCCCACCTCTCCGACCCTGCCCAGGGGACAGGGCCTTTGTGGGCAGGGGTCTGCTTGGAGCTCCTTGCCCCCTCCCCTGCAGTGGATGTCTAGGTGGGATGGAGTGCCAGGCTGGCTCTCAGATCCTGCCCTGTGACAGGTGGGAACAGGATGGAGGGGACTTTACACCCATTCACCCCCCATCGGCTTCCCCCCCGCCCCGAACCCTGGAGACACCAGTGAGGGCAGCTCTGAGCCCATTTTGCAGATGGGGAAAGTAGGGGCATAGAGGGACAAAGGGTATTACAGCCTGAAAGGCCCCAGTGGCACCAGAGTGGCGCATCCCCTCTCAGAATCTGTTTCCTCATCTGTCCAGTGGGGACCCCTACTGTGGGGTGTCCAGTGGGAGTAGACTGGGCACACAGTAGGTGCTCAGGGAACAGGAGTCCGAACGTCCGCGCTCCTGGCCCGGATTCGCCCAGGGCGATCAGAGGGGTCAGGCGAGGGGAAGCCTGTATCCATGAGGCCACTGCGCCACAGAGGGTGGGGCTGGCCCAGGCCTGGCCGACTGCTGGTGTCCCTTCACCCGCTGGGCGAGGACAGCACCTTGAAGAAGTCATCCTGGTGGATCACGCAGCAGTTGGGCAGCGACTTGAGGAGGCTGCTGGTCAGCGTGGTCTTGCCGCCATTGGTCATGCTGGGGAGACAGTGTGTGTGTGAGGCTGCCAGGGCCACGGGAGAACAGCTGAGGTCCAGCCTGACCCTCTGCATCTACGTCTACCAGGCAGACAAGAGCCAGGGCAGGTGGGTGTATGGGAGAATGGGGTCTGATGTCCAACCTGACCTACTATATCTGTCGTTGTCCCAGGGGCCTCCCTCCAAACAGGTTCCCCAGGACTAGACAAACACAAAACCGTAAAACTAGCGAAGACAAGAGAATATTTTTATTCATCTAGGGTCAGGGAGAGTCCCTGGGTGGCACAAATGGTGAACGTGCTTGGCTGTTAACTGAAAAGTTGGAGGTTGGAGTCTACTCAGAGGTGCGTTGGAAGAAAGGCCTGGCAATCTTCTGAAAAATCAACCATTGAAAACCCTATGGAGCACAGTTCTGCTCTGACACATGAGTTTGGGTTGACTTAATGGCAACAAGCAGAGTCAGGGGAGGTTTTCTGAACAGCAAAAAGGAGCACAAAGCATAAAAAAAGCGAACACTTACGCAGACATATCACAGGTAGGGTCAGGCCAAGCACTGTGCCTGGAACGATTTACCTGATCGTCATGGAAACCCTTGGAGGTGGGACTTTTATTCTATTTTTACAGACAAGGAAACTAAGGCCCAAGCCAAATTTAGAGCTTAAAAACATTTTTTTTTAGGACTTAAAAATTAAACAATTTTATGGCTTTAAAAAAAAAAAAAAAGCCAAAATTTTAAGCAAACTGAGGGGAAAATGTTTGCAATAGAAAAAGCTAGTGCTTCACTTCCAAAACCAGAAAGAGGTCATCGATTTATGAAAAGATATAAATCCTCAATAAACCAAACCAAACCAAACCACGCTGTCAGGTCGATTCCGACTCATAGCGATCCTATAGGACAGGTTAGAAGTGCCCCACAGGGTGTCCAAGGCTGTAATCTTTGCAGAAGCAGACTGCCCCATCTTTCCCCTGCAGAGCAGCTAGGGGGTTCGAACCGCCCACCTTTCGGTTGGCAGCCGAGCTCTTTAACCACTGTGCCGTCAAGGCTCCTAAAACCACAGTCCCACAATAAAAAATGAAACAAAACCAACCAAACAGAAGAACAAAAAAACCCCAAAACAATGTTCAGCCTCCGTGACATACATATTTACCACAGTAAAAAAACAAAAAACCCCAAAAACAAAGCAAAGCAAAAAAGATGTTCAACCTCTGTGACATATATATTTGCCACAATAAAAAATAAAATAAACAAAAGATGTACAACCTCATTCATAACCAAGACAAGACAAAAAAAAAAAAAAGGAAAAAAAAAATCAGGCAATTGGCCAAGTGGGGTGACCAATGCTCCCTACTTGCCCAAGACTCTCCTGGTTTTATCACTGAAAGTGTCATGTTCCAGAAGCCCCTCCATCCCAGGCAAACCGGGACAGCTGGCAGCCTTATGATAAAGAGAGTAAAGAATGGTGACAAAGGACAGAGATTGTGGCAGGCAACTGGGGTGATATTTCGTAAAGACCTTAAAGTGAGTATTGTCACTTTAACTCAATCGTCCCTCTTTTAGGGATCAGGGGCACAAAGCTGGGTGTGGAAGAGGTGACAAGCCCCCCCCACCACCAAAATAAACCACAGCGCCTGCCATTGAGTCACCTCTGACTCCTGGCAACCTCACGTGTGCAGAGTAGAACCGCTCAATAGGGTTTTCAGGCTGTGACCTTTTGGAAGCAGATTGCCAGGCCTTTCTTCCGAGGTGCCTCTGGGTGGGTTTGAACCACCAACCCTTCATTAGTAGTTGGGCGCTTAACTGTGTGTGCTACTCAGGGACTCCCAGTGACAAGCAGCAGCCGCTAAACAGCCAACGGGAAAAGCCCCCTTCCCCCAATAATAAGCAGAAAAAAGCAGGTTTCTATAACATCTAACATTAATTCGAGTCATTACTAAAATGGCCAGCTACAGAATTTTCCGGGCACTGTGCAAAATGAAAATGTGTAGCCCTTTGCCCAAAAAGTGTTAAGACTTTCAAGACGGGGACAGAACCTTAAACCCAGTTTGGCAAGTGTAGCGGGCCTGTGAAGCAGACTCTGCCCGTGCCAAATGCTTCACAAAGCCAAAAAACCCCAAACCCGTTGCTGTCGAGTTGATTCTGACTCATGGCAACCCCATGCGTTGCAGAGTAGAACTGTTCCATAGGGGTTTCAACCACTGTCATCTTTATGGAAGCCGATTGCCAAGCCTTTCTTTCCCAGCACCACTGGGTGGGTTTGAGCTGCCAACCTTTAGGTCAGTAGGTGAGTGCAAATCATTTCTGCTGCCTAAACCAAAAAAACCAAACCCACTGCCATCAAGTCGATTTTGACTCACAGCGACCCTATAGGAGACAGTAGAATTGCCCCGTAGGGTTTCCAAGGCTGTCATCTTTACGGGAGCAGACTGCTATATCTTTCTCCCCTGGAGCGGCTGGTGGGTTCAGACTGCTGACCTTTCAGTTAGCAGCCGAGCTCTTAACCCCTGTGCCACCAGGGCTCCTTTTCCCCCACCCAGGGACCTCAAATGCTTCCTGCATCATTGAAAAAGTCTCATCAGTAATAAATGGAGAGTTTAGAACTCCAGGTGAAGGATGGAGCAGGAAGCCGGGTCCTCAAGGCAACTAAGGTCATGCAGAAAGGCTTCGAAGGCAGAGGGTACACACATCCACCTGGAAGGTCATTTTTGGGGAGGCCCCCCCTAGTGTCTGTCCCAGGGTGGGGAGCCTGCAAGGACGGCCCCCACCTTAGTCAGGTCTCCTTGAGCTTTCTATAATTTCCTGTCCCGACTGATGTTTGTTCTGACACCGAGTTTAAAGAAGAAAAATTATTTCCATTTGGAAAACTAAAAAGATGGGGTGCTGAATCAGGTCCTGCACCCACTTTCCCTGCCGGAGATGCCGAACCCCAAGGCAGAGACCCCTCTTCATGCTCAGACCTTGGGCAGTGGGGACCTGAGACCTCAGGCGCTGGGGTAGCTGTCCATTCATTCCCCCGGCCCCCCTGAACTCCCTGACCCGCGGCAGGAGCCCGGCCTCCCCCGCTCCCCGCCTCCCTCCGTCCCCCTCACCCTCCAATGCCTACGATGACCTTCATCTCTGTGGAGGGGTGGACGGTGGGGACTGCGCTTTGTGGCCTGTGGGTGGCCGGACTTCCAGGAGGCCAGGCTGGGCCGACCTCGCAGCGCGCTCCCCGCACGCCCCAACTTCATTGAGAAAACCTGGCGCCTTTATAACCGGGGAGGCTGCGGGGTGGGCGCTGCACCTGTTTCTGGATGGAAATAGCTCCCCGCTGCCTTTTGCCTAAATTAGTCACTGGCCAGCTAAGCAGGGCTGTGGCGCTGTCACCCGGGCTGCCTTGTCCCTTCTCCCCCTCCCTCCAGCCCCTCCCTTCCCTTCTCCCCCTCCTCCCTCTGTCCTATCTCTCCTCCCCCCTCCCCTTCCCCCCCTTCCCTGCAGTCTCTCCCTCCTCTCTCTCCTCCTCCCTCTCCCTCCCTCTTCCCCGCTCCTGGCCAGAGAGCCCACGGGATAGATAAGGGCCATACGATTTTCTCCCTAAAAATATCCCTCCCCAGCATGTCCCTGGGCCTGACCCTGACATTAAGATTGGTCCCCGTGGCGCTGAAAAGGGGAACTCGCCCTCCAGTCTTCCTCGCCTGCCTTCCCCTGCCAGCAGCAGCAGCCCAGAGCCCGGCCCTGTGGGGAACGCCCCTTTCCAGGGATGTTTGGCCAAGATGGGCCCAAGGCCCAGAGTCACAGGATGGCCTTGCTGTGGTCACCAGGGCGCCGCCAGCACTATTTCAGTGTGACTTGAGGGACCGTGCACTGAGGGCTGTGAAGTCACTTGATTCAGCCTTGCAGCAACCTTGGTTGGGGGGGAGGATGGGGGCCACCCAGGCTGATCCTGCTTCTTAGCTGTGGAAGCTGAGAGACACAGCTGCAAACACACTTGTCCGAGTTCAAGCAGCTGCGTGAGGACAGCGGGATCCTGGAGCTGGAACTTTGGGGTCTCAGGACCCCTTTTCACCCCGCAAAGTCACTGCAGATGCAGGAGCTTCTGTTTAATGATCTGTAGTCATTGATAAGGAGTCCCTGTGTGGTACCAGTGGTGAATGAGCTTAGCTGCTAACCAAAAGGTTGGAGGTTCAAGTCCACCCCCAGGTGCCTCAGAAGCCTGGCAACCTGCTTCTGAAAGGTCACAGCCTCGACAACCTCATGGAGCAGTTCTACTCTGATACACACGGGGTTACCATGAGTCGGAGGTGACTTGATGGCAACTGGTTTTGTTTTTTTCCCTGCTGACATCCCATGGGGGTCCCATCCAGACTCGTGCCCCCTCCGCCTTGCCCTCCAGCTTCCTGCTCCTGGAGTCCCCAGCCCTGCCTGACCTCCAAGCCATCACCTTGCTGTTCCCACTGCCTCCAGGGACACTCCCTGACCTCACTTTGGCTGCCTCCTGGGACCTGGGACACTCCCTGACCTCACCCCTGGTCCCAATGAGGCCTTGGTTCCCCCGAGCCGAGCTCCCACACTGGGCTGGAAGCAATGTGGGGGGCTCTGCTACCTGTTGTATCCCCAATGCCCAGCGAGTGAATGAATGAGTGAATGACTAAATGTGTGAATGAATGAGAGTGAATGAGTCAGTGAATGAATGAATGAGTGAATGTGTGAATGAATGCATGAATGAGTGAATGAATGCATGAATGAGTGAATGAGCAAATGAATGATTGAGTGAATGCATGAGTGAGTGAATGACTGAGTAAATGAATGCATGAATGAGTGGAAGAGTGAGTGAATGCATGAATGAGTGAATTCATGAGCGAGTGAGGTTTTGAAGAAACCCCTTGGGTAGTCTGACACTTGGTGGGGTGGGGGACAAGGGGTAGGCTCACGACCCCCAAACTTCGAGTGTGCCCCATCATTGCAGTGCCAGTTCAGCCCCCTGGGCTCCCTATCCCCGTGTGACAGCAGCCCCCACCCTCCCCTTCCCAATGGGCGTGCAGCCACCCCCTCCAGGGGGCCCCTCTGTCTGATGTTCCAGGAGGCAGGCTGGCAGGGCCAGGTGGACTCACACCTACTTTCCCGGCCATTAAGCCCACAGTGACATTGTGCTGACGTCAGCAGAATGGCCGGCCTCGACATCCCTGGCACCAGCAGGTCCCAGCATCACGGGCATGGGTGACGGCAGGAAGCCCCCTGCACTGGTGACCTTTTGAGGGGCACAGTCCCCTAACCCTCCTGCAGCTGACAGAGGTCCTGTCCCCGGCTGAGGACAGGGTGGCCAGCAGTGACAGTGGACGGGGTCAGGTTTCCCTCACTCTCTGTGTGACCTGGGGCCAGCCACGTCCCCGCTCTGCGCCTGTTTCCCCCTTGGTAACATGGGGACTGCCCAGTTGGACACAGGCTGTTATTATCATTATTATTAATTCCAGAGAGGTCTGGGGGCATCTGTTATGGATTGAATTCTGTCCCCCCAAAAGATGTGTTATAAATCCTAACCCCTATCCCTGTGGATGTGATCCCATTTGGGAATAGGGTTTTCTTTGTTAGGTTAATGAGGCCATATCCATGCAGGGTGTATTTTAAGTTCATATCTCATCTTTGAGATATAAAAAGAGCAGATTACGCACGGAAGCAAGCAAGCCCAAATGGGGGGAGACACATGCCACGTGAAGATTGTCAAGGAATGAGGAGCAGAAGCTGAAAGAGACAAGGAACCTTCCCCCAGAGCCCACAGGTGGAGAGACAGAGAGCCCTCCCCTAGAGCTGGCACCCTGAATTCGGACTTTTAGCTTCCTTAACTGTGAGGAAATAAATTTCTGCTCATTAAAGCCACCTCCTTGTGGTACTTCTGTTATAGCAGCCCTAGATCACTAAGACAACATCGAAGCGATGCAGGGCCAGGAGGGGCCTCGGAAACAACCCAGCCAGCCCCCCATTCTGCAGACAGAAGCCAGAGAAGACCACTGTTGTGCCACGTTAAGCGGGGTCCCAGCTGAGTCCCCTTCCCCTCTTCTGCACCTCACCAAAGACCAGCGTCACGTCTCTCGGCAATCAACAAAAGCAACCAGCCTCCCTTTGCACTTATCCTTTATTTATGTCACATAAAAATCCCCCCGAGCTCCTGGAACTGATGTATTCACATCACAAGCGTCAACATAATTCCCGGGCGCGTTTTTAAAAACTGCAAACCTCACTGTTGGGAGGATGGACGCGTGGTTGTTAGAGAACGACAGCTTGGGGAGAGGGTTCATGACGCAGCTCCTGTTACCAAGACAAAGTCCCAATCTCCCTTCGCAAAGACAGCAGCTGGCGGTCCGCTGTTTTTGCCAAAACCGGCCTCCAGATACAGATCGCTCACGAAGCGAAGTCTTGGATGTGCTTGGAACCAGTGGGCCTGTTTGGACTGAGCTTTGGGGTCGCCGTGAGTCAGGACTAACAATGGCAACTGGTTAGCTGGGTATGTGGTGGATGCCTGGCAGCCAGTCTGAGGCCCCAGCAGTAAGACTCTGCCTTCTGCCGTAGCGGGGGTCTCTCTCGTCTTTCTGGAGGGTTCCTTGTGGCTGAGTTGGGGTCCTTGGTTCGGCATGCCCTTTCTCAGTGGCTGCTGGTGATCTCAGGGTGGTGGGTGGGTCACGGTGTCAAGAGGCAGTACCCCCTGGAGTTGCTTGATGAGCCAGAATCTTTAGGGGGTGAGGGTGTCTGTCTCATTCATCAATGTCTCGCTGCTGCCGCTGTTCTTAGCTGCCACAGAGTTGGCTCCGACTCATGGCGACCCCATGTAGGACAACACAACGTGGCCCCGTCCTGTGCCACCTTCAGGCCCTCCCAAGTTGTATGGAGCTGAGTGAATGGGTTACTATCCCCACCCCCCTCTTGCTGGACTGGAAAGAGATATTGGGTCTTCAGTGAAGATCAAGGACCAGGAGTGGTCACTGTTGGGGAAAAAAGGCTCAGGCTGGCGTAACATGGGGAGTGGGTTTGGCATTCGCCTGAGGCTCCGTCCTGAGTGGTCTGACGGCTTTGTTCATCTTGTGCTGGCCTTGGTGAGGGAGATGCCCCTCACTGGGGTGGGGGTTTGGGGCCTTCTGGGCCATGCACCAACTTTTGATGGGCAGTGACGGCCTCCAGGGCCTCAGAGCTTGGGGCAGCCTGGCTGTGTATCAAGCCAAAGCCAAATCCATTGCCATCGAGTGTATTCCAACTCATGGTGTCCCCACGCGTGTCAGAGTGGAACTGCTCCATAGGGTTTTCTTGGCTGTCATCTTTACGGAAGCAGATCACCAGGCCTTTCTTCTGTAGAGCTGATGGATTGGTTCAAACTCCCAACCTTTGGGTTAGTAGTCCAGAGCAAACCATTTGGGCTACTCAAGGACCCAGCTGATGCACAGTGTACCTTACTTTGTGAAAAGGAGGGCACTGGGCAGGGATGGGAGATAAAGGGGCCTTTTAGAGGATACCTTGGGGAGATGCCAGGCTCCAGGTGACAGGTGGACACCTGGGGACACGGACCCTGCCCTCCATGCTTCTGGTCCTTTAATTAACAAGTGGGAAACAGATCAGAAGCAAAAATACAGACAGCACACCAAACTCCCAAATGTCCCTGCCTCGATAGGGCAATGCTGGGACCCAGGAAATGTCTCAGCCTAGCCCAGAGGCTCCGTGGTGGGGTTCGCAGGCCCAAGCCCACTCGGAGATCCTGTGTTTCTCATGGCTGGAGTGGCGGGCATTTGGGGTGTGACACCTTAACCCTGTGTAGCACTCTGCAAAGCACTTGGCATCCTTGGTCCTCAGTGCTCAACACCGCCAGCTCCCTTCAGTCACTGGGATAACACAACACGCGTCCCCTTCTGCCAGGTCGAGAGGCATCCAATGTTCCACTGAGGCTGGGGCCAAGATCCTCAGCCTCGAAAATTGTGGAGCTAGTCAACCGAACCCAGAAAATACTTGCTGAGACATACAGCTGGAATAGGCGCCTGGAGAATGTGTCGCTCAACTTCTGATCAGGTTCATAGAGATACAGACCCTTAGGATTGGAGGGGACGATGCAGGGCCACCTTCTCCAAGTACCATCCAGCCTTTTTTTAAATTCCTCCA